ATGGTTGGTGATTTTAGTTGAGCATGAAGTGCTGAGTGTTGTTACATCATTTTGTTCTCAATGATGACCTCTGTATTGGTAAAGATTTTCAATTTGAATGTTTTACTGTTTAATTTAAGTGTTTCCTTCATTTTTTGAGCAGCATATATAAAGAAATAGCTCCAAGTCTTAATGGCCAATGAATCGTCCATTCATAAAACAGCCTTGTTAATAAGAACAGTTGGAGAGAATTATAATATTTATTGTGTGTTACAGTTTGGTTTCCTCTGTATTTAAATGAAGCACCATTTACAAAGGACCCAGGAAGTCTGAAAGTTTGGCTGAAGCCTACTTAAGTCTTTAATTGCACAAGAATTAGCGACTGTATTATTGAAGGGAAGAATGGCCCTTCAATGGCCCCCAATCTTGATGAAACTGCAGCTGTTTTAAGAAGATTGTGCTGCTTAAGTCAAATGTCGACATGTTAGACCGGTCATGTTATCTGATCTGGAGCCAACGTCTTGTTTTTTATCTTTGTGCTGACATGGTGTGTTCTTAAAAAACAAATGTGTTTCACAAACGTGACGCAACCAAGCACAAAAACCAGGCCCCCGGGGCGGAGGAGGCCTAGATGACTTCAGTTTGTTTACACTGGGCAAAAAACCACTTAACATAAAAGTTATAAACTGCATGTGATTGAGTGAAATAATTATTTATTCAACTGAGTAAAACCAAGTAAAACATGACGTAGGTCTTGGTGGAGAAACCCTTGTTGGTAAGCACAGCAGTAAGTCATTTCCTGATTTGCACAGAGCTCAGTATTTTGGCCCACTCGTCTTTTTACAGAAACTCTAAGTCCTTCTGGTTTTGTGGCTGACGCTTGGCAACTTGAACGTTGAGATTCCTCCACAGATTTTCTGTAGGACTGAGATGTGGCGACTGGCTTGGTTACTCTATGAACTTAATGTTCTTCTTCTTTAACTGCTCCTTTGTTCTCTTTTCTCATCCAACATTTTACAGCACACGGCTCTGTCCATTTGACCCTCAGTGTGGGGAAGTCGTCCTCTACCCTCAGCAGAAAAACAGCCCAGACCATAATGTTTCCACCTCCGTGCCTGAATGTTCTTTGGTTCACACTCAGCATTTTTCTTCCTCCAAACATCTCAGGTTGAGTTGATACCAAAGAGCTGACCACAGCACCTTCTCCCAGGCCTTCTCTGAATCGTTTATATGTTTGTTGGCAAATTTAAGATGGGGCTGTACACATGCCTTCTTGACCATGCATTTTGAGATAAGTGTCAACCATAGAATTAATTTATGTTATACATGTTAATAATTAGAGCTATGTATTCTATTATTATCTATTAGAACTATTTGGTTATATTTGATAACTTTGTAATATATTTTATTATTTAATTTAGGTTAGTTATTCTTCTTACTGCTTGGAGCAACTGTTACCTCACGGATTAATAAAGTATTATGATTCTGAAGGTTCTCGCTGATGGTCTTGCAGGTCTACAGTCTTGCCCCTAATGTCCTTTGACAGCTCTTTGGTCTGTCCCGAGAGAGTCCTTAAATCGGGCTCTAGCTCACTTAGGGGGCTTGGTGGTGGTGTGTAAGAGGGTGAAGAGGTGGAGCTCTGCTATCAGAGCTGTGATGAAGTCCTTGAACGCATCGCGATCAAAAGTACCAGCAGAGCGCTGAGTGACAGTCCTGCTCCACGGTAGCTGCTCCGCGCCAGAGAAACCAGAGCAGAGCCGAGCGAGGCAGGGGTGGGGGGACACGCACAGAGACCGCGTGCAGCAGGATGGGCTCCGCGCACTGCGATGTGCAGTAATTGGGATTAAACCTACCGGACGGTGCTTGGAAACACTCGCAGCAGCAGCAGTAGTAATAGTAGTAGTAGTAGTAGTGGAGAGCAGGGGGAGCTCCGCCGCATGTGCTCCTCTGTGTGCGCCTGAAAGAACTTGTTTTGCTCCGTGCGCTGGGCAAAAATCGACCCCCTCCTCCTCCAGAGAAAGAAGCGACTCGGCGGTCATAAACAAACACGGGTTCAGATTTAAGCTCCGGGACTCGCAGTTGCAGCAACCCCAAACCGACCTCTGACTCTCCTCTCACATGCCGGTGTGGGGGAGAGAGGCAGAGGAGAGGAGCCGGGGGATGTTTGGATCAGCTCGCTGAACTCGCACAAACACCGACGAGGAAAACAAGAAGAAGTCGCGCTGGTTTTTCACGTGGGGGTTTAAAATAAAGAGAGAGAGGAGGAGAGAGCTCGGGGGGTGTCATGGAGAGCCAAGCGGGCGAGCAGTACAGCCACGAGGACGTGCGGAAGAGCGGCTACCTCCGCAAGCACAAGTCCATGCACCGGCGGTACTTCGTGCTCCGCGCCGCCTCGGAGCGCGGTCCGGCCCGCCTGGAGTACTACGAGAGCGAGAAGAAATTCCGGGGCAAGGCCCCCGTCCCGAAGAAAGTGGTGGCGCTGGAGACCTGCTTCAACATTAACAAGCGGGCCGACTCCAAGAACAAGCATATGATCGTGCTGTACACCCGGGCAGAGAGCTTCGCCGTGGCCGCGGAGAACGAGGCGGACCAGGACGAGTGGTACCAGGCCATGGTGGAGCTGCAGTGCAGGAGTAAGAGAAGCACATTTGCACACAAACACGCACACATGCACGCTTTCCTGCATGTACACACACACACACACCCACACAAATATATGTGTGTGCGTATATATGTGTATATATATA